GAAGCAGTAAGGATTTAAGCCAGAGTTGGCTATGAAAGATCTGCCTGGCAAGAAAAGAAGCATTCAATAAGACTGTAAAAGAAAACCAAGCCCATTCATACCACCACCCCACCCTTGCATGCAGGTATTCGATCCCGGAATCTTTCTCCATACTGGAAAAAGGCCATTCTGCAATTGTTCATAGCTATAAAACAGTTCTTGTCCCAATATAAGACCAGGAGATAGAGTTCATTTAAGCAAATGTGTACATTAAAACAAGTTTAAAAAAATGGAAAATAGAATTTACCTATCCTAGGATTGGGCACTTCCCCAAAGTGGATCCTATCAAAATCTTCACTGTAGTCACTTTATCATGTGGGACAATCTTGGAAATTAGGGAAGAAGTATAACAAATGATATTAGGACCATTATTCACTATTGCAGGACAGCTTTTTATTTTTTGGGTTTTTCTGATATACAAGATCAGTAATACTTAGTCCTAGAATAATATCTTTGTTTTCAGAAATATATTTGTAACCCTGATTTATTCATGCCTGTGCCTTTACACATTTCAGGTCTGCAGGTTCGAGCGCTGCCGCTGGCAGTAACCGAAGACTTCAGCAGACACAAAATCAAGTTGAGGAGGTATTGCTCTAAGACTCTCAAGTGTGAATTCTAAATAAACATGGGTACACCCTGCAGATAATGCTGTTTAGAAAAAGTATTATAAATGTGTGACTGTAAACTTTGACAGTGTTATAAATGTAATAAAAAGTCTGTCCCCTTCTGTTTTTAGAAGCCATGATCTAAGCAAAAGTCAGACTCCCTGGTTTCATGCTTATTTTTCTGCAAGGGAATCACATACCTAAAACAGAAACATTCCCCAAGAACCACTTTGTAAAAATAGGATAATAAAGTTTTAAGGATTCGGGCTAAAGATTGTTCAAGCCAGAAATGAATCCCTTCCGATGAGACATTTTTCCAGAATGCTTTGTCCTGCAGCCTGACCCACCAGTCACCTGACCTGAGCAACTCTAGGAAACATTCATCTCTGAGGTTGGCAAGAGAGGCACAGGCAGATGCTGACTAACTGTCCTAGCCCAACAAATCTGTATCTGTAGAATTCTTGACTTTCACAACATTTTTTGTTCTGCCCAATATATGCAGAACTGAAAACAGATTGTGTGAAAAATTGGGACTCATATTTCCCTATTCCTAAAAGCAGTCACTGTCTGCATTTAGCTACACTAAAAACTAGAGTTAAAAGGTAGATACCATTGTTAAATCGTAGTAATGCTTTGATTGGGTATTTTGTTTATGAACTTAATTATCACAATTTTAGATTTTTCACATTGAAAGCCATTTAAATCTGTCCTGCTTGAATCTTGTTTACTTACGAAATCAAAATCCAATCTTTTTTTTATCCAAAGGAATTTCAAAGAGTTGTATTCTTTTTTCTTTTATGGAGGTGAAATACAATTAACCAGTCTAAAGTAGTTTGGTAGTATTTAATAGATTCACTTACTGTGCACCCATTACCTCAGTTTTCAGAACTCTTTCATTATTCCTGAAAAGCACCTGTACCCATTTAGTAACCATTGCCCATTTCCCCTTCTCCCATTGCCCAGTCACCTCTGATCTGCTGTCTGTTTTGATGAATTTGCCTGTTCTGTGTATAGCATAAAAAAGAACCATACCATTTGTGGTCTCTAGTGTCAGGCTTCTGTCACTTAGCATGATGTTTTCAACATGCATCCACATTGTAGCATGTATTAGTACCTTGTTTCTTTTTATAAATATAGGGTAATGGATAATTTCAGCTCTTTCCACTTCTCAGCTATTAGGAATAATGCTGCTATCAAAATTCAAGAATAAGACTTTGTTTAACCATGTTTTCATTTCTCTTGATTCTGTAGACCTAGGTGTATTGCTGGGTCATACAGTAGTTGTATGACTGGGGTAGTTCTGTGTTAGCTTTTTGAAGAGCAGCCAAACTGTTTTCCACTGTGGCTGCCCCATTTTATATTCCCATCAGCAAGGTATAAAAGCTTCCTACTTCTTTACATCCTCTTCAACATTTGTTTTCTTGGTTTTGGATTATAACCATCGAGTGAGCTTGCGGTCGTATCTCCTTTTGATTTTTTGATTGCGTAGTGAAATGACTAGTGATGTTGAACAACTTTTCATGTGCTAACAATCCATATGTTTATCTTTGTTGAAAGCCTTTGCCCATTTTTTAGCCGGGTTGTCTTTGCATTGCTAACTTATAAGAATTCTTTTTGTATTCTGGATAGCAAGCCTTTATCAGATATGTGATTTGCAGGTACTTGCTTTCATTCTGTAGATTCCTTCCTTCCTTCCTTTTGCGGTACGGCGACTGAACCTAGGGCCTTCACACTGAGTTACATTCCCAGCCCTTTTTTTATTTTGAGGCAGGGTCTTGCTAAGTTGATAAACTGCCCAGGCTGGACTCAAACTGGCCATCCTCCTGCCTCAGCCTTCCAGAGGGCTGGGATTATAGGCATGCGCCACCACTCCCAGCTGAAACATTCTTGATAATATACTTTGATGCAAAATTTTAAAAAAATTTTTATGAAGCCAGCTTGTAAAATTTTAGTTGTTATTATTGGGGGGGAGGATTAGTTGTTGTCAGAGTTTTTTGTTTTTCCCCTCTTTCTTTTGGTATTAATCAAATTTAAGAACCTAGGGCCAAATCTGAAGTTTTGAAAATTTATTCTTATTACTGTTTAGAAGTTTTATAGTTTTTTTTAATGTTTTTTTAATTTAATTAGTTTTAGCTCTTAAACTTAAGCCATAGATCCATTTTCAGTTACTTTTTGTGTATGAGGTGAGGTAGGAGTCATTCTTTTGCATGTGACTCTCTTGTTGTCCCAGCAAGATTTGTTGAAAAGACTGACCCTTTCCCCCAGTGTACAGTCTTCATACCCTGTCCCGAATCATTTGGGTCTATGGGCTGGAGTATATCTCAGTAGTAGAGTGTTTGCTTAGCAAAAAGACCTGCAGTTCTTTCCCCAGCACTACCAAAACAAAAACCAGCCACAGATGTTTCAGTTGATTCTGTACTTTCAGTTCTATTCCATTGGTCTTTATGTCTGTCCTTACGCCACTACCAATTTTGACTACTGTAGCTTTGTAGTAAGTTTTGAAAGTAAGAAGTGTGAGTCTTGCAACTTTTTTTTCTTTCAGTATTCTTTGTCTTTTTGAGGTTCCCTGTGGTTACATATGAAAAAGCTACTGGAGTTGGGGTCACACTTGGGAGATTTCTGAGTGTGACAATAAAACCATTGGGATTGCTGACTCTGCATGGCCGTCTTCACAGGGCTAAGTCTCCCAGTGTATAGCACAGGATATCTTTCCGTTTTTAACTAGGTTTTCTTTCAGCAGTGTTGTGTTTTTGCTTTGCAAGTCTTTTACCTTCTTGGTTAAATATATCCCTAAGTATTTTTATTCTTTGGGGTGGTGTTGTAAAGACAGTTGTTTTCTTAATAATCTTTTCAGATTGTTTATTGCTGGTATACAGACACAGAACACATTTGTGTAATCTTAGGGCCTGAAACTGCTGAGTTGGTGACTCTAATGGTTTTTTCTTTTTGTGGATTCTTTGAGATCCAGAGGATATGGATATAGATGTAGATACAAATGCAGATACAAATTCAGATACAGATATTTAGAGTGCCCTGCAGATAGAAGGAGTTTTACTCGTTTCCAGTTTGGGTGCCCTTTTCTTCTTGATTGCTCTGGCCTGGACTTGAGTACCATGTTGAACAGCAGTTGTGAAAGTGGGCGACCCTGTCTTGTTTCTGGTCTTAAGGGGAAGCTGTTGGTCACAGTTCACATTGAGCATCATACTAGTTGTGGATTTTCCCATAAATGCCCTCGGCTCATGTTGAGGTTGTTGCCTTCTATCCTTAGTTTGTTGAGTGGTTTTATCATGAAAAGGTAGGCCCATTTTGTAAAAAATGTTAGTAATAAAGTCCAGACTTGAAACCAAATATGCCAGAGATTTCAATTGGACTTGTGGTTCTTCCATTACTCTATGTGTAAGCTAACATGACCACATTCGTCTAGGTGGTGGACATAATGAGAGTCAATGTGGATAAGGTATTAGAAAGAGACCAGAAGCTCTCTGAGTTAGACGACCGTGCTGATGCTCTGCAAGCAGGAGCTTCTCAATTTGAAACAAGTGCTGCCAAGTTGAAGAGGAAATACTGGTGGAAAAACTGCAAGGTATTTCTTTTTACTGACCTTTATATGAAGTCCCCCTTTCCATTCTTAGAGGCTTGGCAGAGTGTACAAATATCGGACTTCAGTGAATCTGGAAGGTAGGTTTAACTTCCCACACACAGACATTTGTGTGAGCTGTGAATCTTACCCAGAGACTGCACCCCTTCCATCCACCACTAAGGTTCCTCACGTTCTGTGGCTGATCTCATGAGCTGCCTAGAACAGGAACTCCCCAAACCCATCAGGCAGAACCGCTTGGTCCATGTGCAGGTTGTTCGGCGAGCAGCTCCAGCACCAAGGGAAAGAAACTAGAAAGTCACCTTGTGCTCAGCAGGAGAAAGTGGCCAGAGGCAGAACATAGTCTACTGCAGGTTTTGCATGGTTAGCAAATAAATATGCTCAAATCAGATCATAATATGTCCTGCCCCTTCCTGTTCCAAACTGACACTGAGATGCAGGGGGTAAACTTAGTCGCCCCTCCTTGGGTGGAAAATTTATACAAGTGAACAGGTACCTTTCTAGGAGCCACAGATCACTAGCACACTTTCTAAAAAGCAGTTAGAAACTTTAGTCCCAATTGAGACCATTAAATACAGGATTAGAAATGATGAGTTGTTTCAGGTTGTAGCACACCTTGATTGCTAGAATAATATAGGATGCTCTTCAGTAAGTGTGTTAGGTCTTTTTATGAAATGTGAAAAGCGTGTATGTTTTCTTACAGATGTGGGCCATAGGGATTAGTGTTCTGGTGATCTTCATCATCATCATCATTGGTGAGTTACTTCCTGTGTTTACAAATGACTGCCTACTGTACAAGAATACAGAGTAAAAAGCTCCCTCCGAACATTAGCTCATTCCAAGGTTTTTAAAGAATTTACATTAGCAAATCTTGTAAGTACTCAAATTTTTATGATTAAAGTCCGAGATTTTTTTTTACATGAACATTAATTCTTTAAGGCTGAGGAATGTCATTGTTCCTGGTAGCTTGGTTTCTATCTGAATATAACGATGGTGTATATTTCCTTTTATGTAGTGCCTGTGATCTAGCCCTACTCCTGCCCCATCCAGCTCTGTGGCAGGCAGGCAGTTTAAAGTGTCTTCTTCTCAGTTTCCTTATTTATAAAATGTGGACAATAATGGCACCTACCTTCTTTGTCATGAGGACAAGTCTGGTTAATATATAAAATGTGCTTAGTATATGGCATCTGGCATATGCAGTAATAAAAAATTATGTTAGTGACTAGATTAGATATATATCTCACACACACACAGACACACACACACACACACAGACACACACACACACACACACACACACACATATATGGATATACTCTCACCTATGACTGTCATTATATGTAATATTGGAAGAACCCATTGGGCACTTCTTCCTTTCATTGCTAGGATGATGTCAGTGGATGCTGCTCTTCAATGAGAGTTACTTGGATGCTTTTGACTATACGCTCCTCCGGCTTTACATAGCACTAGTGGGATATGGGTCAGATTGAATCTGTTCACATTTAGACTGACTGCAGCTTTCACTCTGGGTGTGCACTGAAAGACTAAACCACCCTTTTTGCTCTCTCTCTGCCTCTCCGTCCCGCTTCTTAGTGTGGAGTGTCTCTTCCTGAAGAACCAGTGAAACTCGAGCCTAGCTGTTCAGGAAACCTTCAAGACCTTTGACTTTGAACCTGCTATATTGTCAAACTTACCTGTTATTTCTAAGATGATTTTTTTTTTTCTTTTTGCTAGTTCACTCAAAGTTCCATTTCTAAGAAATGTGCCTTTGTTATTAATATGCACTCCAAATGAGAGGTGTGGCCAGTCCTGCCCTCGTTTTGCATAGGGCCTTTCCAGATTTACATACGGGCCGATAAAGAGGACTTCCCCTGCTCCAGAGTGCTGTGCTCTTGACATGGTATTGTCACTAATGAATTGCCTTTGACTCCAGCTAAGTTAGCTTCTGACATTTCCTACAGCTCCACATTTTAAAACCTTGAGTAATGCGATTTCCACGTTGTGCCTTCCAGAACACTACTGCCTAACACATCTGTGACAGTAACAGGCCGTGCCTTGCTTTGATATTTCCCTGGTTTCCTGTAAGAGATGTGACTCTTTTTTATAAGCACTACTGACTCACTGTATTTAAACTGATGCTGGTTAAGTTTTTGGTCTTACATTAGATATGAAGATGTTTACTTTCTTGTTATTGTTAGGTATCACTTCCTAAAATATTATTTTAATCAGAAGTAACAACCCTTTTAAAAAGTTTTATAGAACTATGCCTGTGACCAAAGTTTGTTTTGCCAAAATGTTAAAATACAAATAAAACATCCTTATGTCTGTCTCTGACAGATGAATTCAGAAAAGTGCCAAATGGGACTGAAAGAGCCTTTCAAAAGGAAAGTGGTAATAGTGTGCATGAACCTTCCGCATAATATGCTGGCAGTGTGGCTGCCTCCTAAGGCAGCAGTTTCCACAGGCAAGAGGTTTGAGCAAAACTCCTGCCACCTCATACTTGTGGACAAAGGGTTTCCCCAGCAGACGGCAGACCAGCAGCTAATGGCGCCAGTGTAGTACAGTCCTGTGGCCCTCAATTAAGACCATCTGTGACCAGCCTCACAGACGACAGCCCTTTGAAATGTTTCCTGTTATTATTCATATTGTGCTTCCTAAGTTTTCTAAATTGTGCTCTGATGAGGCGTTGGTAGGGTGGGTTACTCTTCAGAGGACAGCTAATTAGAGATTTTTTTTTTTCTTCTGTGTCATACTGCACAGATGCTACTTTGGAAATAGCTAATGTCACCTGAGACTTGTGTACATAAGACTTTTAACATCAGGGTATGTGACTTAAAGTGGGGGTTCAGGTATGAATGAAGTCAGGCAAGGAGGCACGGGGAGAAACACAGGCCATGTTTTCCAGAACGTTCTACGTATTATTCACATGCTAGTATGACTTAGAAGCGCAACAGCTAAGGTGCACCAGCACACATTTCTGAGACATTTTACCTTGTGTTCCCCTGGCATCACTGAAATGATTTAATGTTGAAAACGTGCCTCGCAGTATCCACAGCTGTGAAGCAGCAGCTGTCAGTGTCAGGACTTCGGCCCAGGGTCTCTGGCCATGTCTGACTCTGAAACCTTGGTGCTCTCTCCTTGCTCCATACTCAGTCCCATGTAACCCAATGGCTCCTGCATTAACCCAAGAATACCTCGCTTGTGTCTGCATTCAGCTGGCAACTTGCCTGCTCCGCCGATGACTCTGGCCCCTGTGTTCCCTGGGGAGGGACGGCTGTGCCTGTTCCGAGCCCCTAGGGGTTCTTCCTTGCTTTTCCTCGCTCCCTTACAAGCTTCGCCTGCTCTTCTTCCTTGCCCACTACCTCCCGGGTCTCCCCGAGCCTGAGTGGATAGAAGACTAGCGCCCCCACGTGAGAAGCGCTCTTCAGCGTGGAGGTGAATGGGGACGGCTTTCTCACAGCCGCCCGGACGTCTTGAGTTGGATGTGGAAGTGAGTTCCAGCTGCGCTCACGCGTGGTTCTTGTTTCGGTCCGCATCTTTCCTTCCCTTGCATATACTTTCACGTTTATTCTGGCCCTCGGAAACACTGCACCTTTGCTTATATTTATAATGGGAAAATCCAGTACCAATACTGTTCTTCGCCACCACCTTACCTTGATCTGGCCCCTCCTGACTTACTCGCCTCACTCTACACCAGTCTGATCTCCAGGCGCGGCTCCTGCCTTTCAGGTTCTCCACGAGATTGGGCAGGGGACTGTGCAAGCTGACCCGCTGTGCTGGGCCACTTTCTTGGCGCTCTGCTGGGGCTTCAGGTCCCCTTCTCTGTCATCTGGCCGCCTCCACCCCTACCCGGGAGCTTTATTTTCCACCCCGCGCCTTGAGTCGTTTCTTAGGCTTTGTCATCTCCCAGGATGACAATCATCCCTCAGACGTGTTCGCACGTTTGCCGAATGAATGCGGTCTGAGGAAAAGCTTGGGCGAGCTATCACTCCCCAAAAGAGCAGTGTAGAATGCCTCCTGGGAAAACTGACAGTTTACCCAATACACAATAAAGACAGCCGCCCACTTCCCTTTTCCTTGCGCCCTTCATGTACAACTTTAATTCATCCAAAGAATTGTGTTTCCGATGTACCAGGCATCAGGGAAGAGTCTGCCCTGAGCCTTTCAATTCGGATAAATTGAGAGGCCATGCAAAAGGCACCTTCAGACGTTTAAGTTAAGGCCAGGGACGCGTTTAAGTCCCACCTTAAACTTCCCTTTTTTGAAAATCGGGCTGCAATTTGGCCGGTCGCTTCCCTGTTCCTTCAAACCCACCTTCCACTTTGAGCAGGACAGCTAGCAAGGTAAGGAAAGACGAATGCAATACAACCGCAAGAACCAAAACTGCCGCACAGTGCCAGAGCCCCCAGCGCGGCTCATCAGGGCGCAGAGCTACCCGAGGTACCCCGGCGCAGCTCTTCCTCTCTCCCCCGCCCGCCGCTCACTTGGTGCTGCCCCCTCTGCCTTTTGCTGTCTCCTAGAAGGTTTACTTTGGGCCCCTTGCAATATGGCTCTCTTGGCTTTGATGACTTTATTTTGTTTTCCTTCCATTTCTTTCCTGAGCCCTGCCAACTCATGCTTCATCCCCCTTTGCTGCCATTCTATACCTTTCCTGAGTTTTTGTGGCTCTGCTTTAGGTTTCTGTTTTAAAGAGGCACTTGTTTCCCTAATGCTTTGAATTATGGTAATACTTGGCCGACAGTCTCCCATGGCTCCATACATTTTCCTGGTGAGTGTTCTTCATCCATTTAATTTTATTTTGTTCCTGCTTCTTTTCTGTATTTTTATAGTCATAGGATCCTGATTCCTTTTCTGATTCTTATAGCCTTTCTATAAAGTGGATTTCCTGACCCTTGCCCCTCAATCTGCTACTTGAAAGCCTTTTCTGGTGGCAGGGGATGCTTGAGAGCAGGGAGACATGGATTTTCTTGGCTGGTGAAGGTTTTTAGACACGGAGCTATGACTACTCATGAGCCTTCTCCCAGTGACAGAAACAGGCTGCAGGGGAGCCACCCATCCAGCTCTGCATCTGATCTCCTCTCTGACCCATCCCCACCCTCCTTGTCTGGGCCAACCTTGAATCCAGGAAGTTTTGTATCCTGGTGGGTGAGTCCTGTTTCCTTTGTTCTCAGCACAAAGGCTGGCTGCCTGTGTTGATGAGCTAAGCCCTGCAGGCTTTGCCCAAGGTCTGAGGTTGCAGAATGTCTCTGGCGGTACACTCCGATGGCCCCAGAGGTGACCCGGGGCCTTGTTAGGCCTGTTGCAGCCATCAGCAGCAAGCACTATTGAAAGAGATTCAGGAGGATTTCTGCATCTCGAACCTAAAGTTTGTATTTCTCCTGTCCTTTTTAGTATTGAAGGTGGATGATTTCCTAGAGCAGGAGGTAGCAACATATTTACCCTATCATGCTATGGCCAGAATCCGGGCAGCTTTATTTTTAAAATACAATCAAATTGCCTTCAATAATCTTAGCTGCCACTGCAAGTTTATAAGTTTAAGCTGATGTGCAAGGTGAGAAGTGTGTGCAGAGACAGGATACAGGAAGCATAAAGACAGATGGGAAAGTGGCTTCCTTGGCAGTAGCAATCAGCTTTCCTTGGGGACAGCGAGGAGGCAGGCAGAAGGGCACGCAGAGAGCCGTGAGAGGCACAAAAAGGCCCCTTGGTTCAAGGATGACACGTGTAAAAGGCAATTTTGTATCAGGAATCTAAACCCCACCCCCGAGTAGGTGAGGAAGCAGACCACTCTCTTCCCGAGAGGGGACCACAAAGCCACACATTCTCCCTCTGGAAGGACCCGTTCCTGGGCAGGACAGGGGGGTCACAGCGGTTCCCGCCCAGGCTGCAGGTCTGCCTCCCGGTCACCCACAGCCTGTGCTCGCGGGGCCCCAAGTCTCACCCCTCCACGTGTGACAGCTTCCTGAGTGCTAAGCACGGGGCCCATCAGCTGATGCCTCTGTCCGCAGCTCCTCTGGCATGGGCTGAAGAGGACGGCAGGGTGGAAGGACGCCGTCGTGTCTGGTTAGGAGGGGTCCTGGATGCAGCAGGGCTTAGGGATCTGGGACCTGGGGTCTTGGGG